GCGTGGGGGGGGGGGGCCAGGCCACGTCCAGTTTTGGCTATTCCGGCAGCTGTGAGACTCAGAGAGGAGATTAAAGCACTCAGACGTGTCTTCATACTCAACATAGTGCTGCAGTGTTTCGCTGAATTGCATGTTTTCTTTTTTTTCATACTTTTTTTTCACACTTTAAATGGAAATATTACACATTTAAACATGATAATGGTATTGTTTCCTCAATGAATCACCTTGATTTACTGAAAGTTTGTTAAAAACCTTGATCCAGACAATATCGCAAACTAAAGTTTAGCCTGTGTTTCCATCCACAGAAGGCCGACCCAGAAAAGACCAAACATGTGTGACGATGACGAGACCACCGCCCTGGTGTGCGACAACGGCTCTGGCCTGGTCAAGGCTGGGTTCGCCGGTGATGACGCTCCCCGTGCTGTCTTCCCTTCCATTGTTGGACGCCCCCGTCACCAGGTAGGAATACTAAAGGGGCCACAAGTTTCTGAAAGATGAACATTTCTAAAGCTTTGTTGCAGGCTGTCTGTAAGTGTGTATGTTTTCTGAGTTATGTTTGCTTTGCGTTCTCAGGGTGTGATGGTGGGTATGGGTCAGAAGGACAGCTATGTGGGCGACGAGGCCCAGAGCAAGCGAGGTATCCTGACTCTGAAGTACCCCATCGAGCACGGCATCATCACCAACTGGGACGACATGGAGAAGGTGAAGGAAAACCGCAATACCTTATATGTTTCCTTGTATTTCTGACTAGAGCCTAATTATGAGTCACTTCTGTCCCTGATATATTCCTCCCTGTTCCTGTTTCACAGATCTGGCACCACACCTTCTACAACGAGCTCCGTGTGGCCCCAGAGGAGCATCCCACCCTGCTGACTGAAGCCCCCCTCAACCCCAAGGCCAACAGGGAGAAGATGACCCAGATCATGTTTGAGACCTTCAACGTCCCCGCCATGTATGTGGCTATTCAGGCTGTGCTGTCCCTGTATGCCTCTGGTCGTACCACCGGTGAGTCTCGAACCGAGGACTTTAACTCTTTGACTCTGCAACATCGCAGGCCGATTTTAAAACACACACTCTTTATGTGCTTTCTTCTGACAAACTGCTGCTTTTTGTGGACAGGTATTGTGCTGGACTCTGGTGACGGTGTGACCCACAACGTGCCCATCTATGAGGGTTATGCTCTGCCCCATGCCATCATGCGTCTGGATCTGGCCGGTCGCGACCTGACGGACTACCTGATGAAGATCCTGACTGAACGTGGCTACTCCTTCGTCACCACTGGTGAGAAGGACCCAACAACTAACTGGAAACCAAAAAATGATAACCTATAAGATTAATAAGAAGAAAATAAAGTTAATTTATTAGGTTATTACTGTAATGAGTAAATGTACTTAGTTACCTTCCAATTAAATTGATAAATAAGATATGCCAACCCAAATCTAATTAAGAGATTATGATACTTAAGCTCTGATCAGAACAAAAACCTAACTCATAAACGCAATGAATGGCATTGATTTCAAAAAGCTTAGAGTGGACAGATGTACATATTTGCTTTTCATAGTGTTTTCAGTAGCGAGTTCATAGTTGCCTCATTTAGATTTCTCTCATTGCAATAGAGTGCTGCAGGGATGACTTATCTTTGTATAACTAAGTGGTTATGTTGCCTAAATCTAAGCAAGTGTTTTTGTTTGCGATCACAACGCTTAACACGTGTTTGCTGCTATCGTGCACGAGGCTACCCAGTGTGTTAGACAGTGATGCCAAGGGGTCTGACAAAGCGTCAGAATGGGATGAATTGGAAAGAATATGTGACGCAAAGCCCCATTTTATTTCTCATGAATTATTCTTTTTATTTGTGAGAGAAACTCAAAGTTCAGCCTACTTCCATTTTACTGAACTCCTGCCTCCAGAAGTGAACACAGAAAGCTGTTTGTAGATTATGTTGCAGTGATAGTCAGTGCCTGCAGTAAGCTGGTTAACAATGTTATAATGTGAGGTTAACAGATGAACTGTGATTGATATCCTCCCTCCAGCTGAGCGTGAGATCGTGCGTGACATCAAGGAGAAGCTGTGCTACGTTGCTCTGGACTTTGAGAACGAGATGGCCACTGCCGCCTCCTCCTCCTCCCTGGAGAAGAGCTACGAGCTGCCCGACGGTCAGGTCATCACCATTGGTAACGAGCGTTTCCGCTGCCCCGAGACCCTGTTCCAGCCCTCCTTCATTGGTGAGTCATGACAGCTGCCCACCAACACTAACACACGGTGACCACCGTCACCGTGTCGAATTATATTTCATGTGTCGGCTACAGTGGAAGGCATCTACTGACTCAGAAAGGCATACTAATTACAGGCTACAATTTCAGCTTGACATTAACGAGAATACTTTTTAAACAAGAAACTGAATAAGGAGCTGACAAAACAATAATGTTGACGAAATGTTGATTAAAATAAAGCATGAATCATGTATGTTCATAAATTTCTATTTATTTCTATAAATTATCATTTATTTTTTATTAATTATTTACTTTAATTTACTTTACCCATATTTATTTATTATAGGTATTATTTAAACATTCCAAAGATGGTTTATAACAAACTACACTGTAGCTTTAAGCACGTTTAAGGGTTTAGTATATTTGTCCATTTGGCAGTGGAGGCTGCTATATGTGCAAATAAAGAATGATAACATAGTAAAACAGTTTGAATAATATAAAATCTGTCTTCATAAGAGATGGTGTAAATGTTGGCAAATAGTGTTCATTAATATAAATGTAAATTGAAGACAGCCTTATATCTCCTTATAACTATTATAGTGGGTTGTACAACTCATTCATTAATTGTCTATATACTGCTTATGCATGCTAAATTAGGGGGTAAAAGTAAAACCTTGTTTATTTTATAGTTTTCTCTTAACTCATTTTTTATAATACTTTTGAATTCTTTTACATTTTGGGTTTTGTTTGATTTTTTCTTTTTATTATAAAGCACTTTGTGTCTTTGTTTATGAAAGGCCCTGTATACTGTCATTATTATTGTGATTATTATTCATTTTAATATTTCTGTAATTATTGGTGCTCATATCCTGTGAGCCTTATGAACACTCTCCTTTCTCTTCTCACCTGCCCAGGCATGGAGTCTGCTGGTATCCATGAGACTGCATACAACAGCATCATGAAGTGTGACATTGATATCCGTAAGGACCTGTACGCCAACAATGTGCTGTCCGGTGGAACCACCATGTACCCTGGTATTGCTGACCGTATGCAGAAGGAGATCACCGCCCTGGCCCCCAGCACCATGAAGATCAAGGTGAGCCTTATCAATCAGCACTGACCGGTTCAATCCAGCTGACAGGAAGTTTAATATGTCGTATCGTATCCAACCTGTACCTCTGCTCCTCCTTGCAGATCATCGCTCCCCCTGAGAGGAAATACTCTGTCTGGATCGGCGGCTCCATCTTGGCCTCCCTGTCCACCTTCCAGCAGATGTGGATCAGCAAACAGGAATACGATGAGGCTGGCCCCTCCATCGTGCACAGGAAGTGCTTCTAAAGTTCCAACCCGCACCAAAAGAAGAAAAAAAAACCACACCAACTGCACCAGCTCTCCATCCATATTTGTATTTCTACTTTGCCTTTTGCTGTATATACATGTTTTGTTGTAATAAAAATAGTTGCTTTTAACAGTAACAATCTGGAGTGTTGGAATTTTAACATACAGGTCGTAAGCAGGTCCATGAACATTTAAGATGTCAATATGTCTGTTAGGGTTAGCGTTAGCGTTAGGGTTAGGGTTAGGGTTAGCTTGTTCCTTTGGTATAGCTGTCATAGACTCCCATTGCTTTGGGCAGGGGGCGTGGCCAAGCACAGAATTAGGGTTAGGGTTAGGGTTAAGGTTAGGGTTAGGGTGATAGGAAGGTCCTAGAGCCTTGGGAATGGGCTCTACCCCCACTAAAGCGGCCTTTGGGGTTCGATTGGTATCAGTCCCGAGTATCTAGGACCTTGGGAAGAGGTAATAAATTGAAATTTGTGAAATCATGAATGTGATTTGAAGTTAGCTCACGAATGAGAATTTGAAGGGCTTTCATTTTGAAACGCTGCATCAGAATGTGCTGGTTCTGTCTGAGTGGTAAAGTAACTCAGACTCAGAGATGGATTTGTCGGCAGAATATGATTCTTATTAAATGTCTTTTATAATGGGTGATTTCTGCTTAGATTTTATAATTCAAGGATAAAACTAATTATTTTGTGATACCTCTCACACATTAAGTTGTTAATAATGTAACTGGAGTTTTGACCCGTATAGAAAGCTTTTTATTCTCTATGAACCTTGCAATTAGAAGACGAATTCACAGAAAAACCTAATTAAATCAAACATTAATTTGTGTTGATTTATATACTTTTTTCACTATGTGAGATTAAAAAAGACATTTTAGTTTCCCACTTAACAACAAAGGAATAACAAACATAGTATTTTCCTTTTTTGATAAAAGTAAATAACTTACTTTATCTAAAATGCTGCTAAAAGGAAAATATAGCCTCAGGTGATGGAGTTAAATCATACTTTGAATAGTAAATAAACATCTCCCCCCTAATACACATAAAGTTGTCTTAATACTTAAAGTGTTGCTGAGATGTTGACCCTTAAGACTTCTTTTCCTTATCTTAGTAGAGTATAGTCTCTGTTTTTTTCACAAAAGTCTACTCTAAAGTGTTTCACAGCTGAACAATTTATTTTGATGATAAGATTGAAAGAGCTGATTTTGTCTTTTATTGTATATTGGGACATTTGACCACAAAACATTTCTTGTCAGTGATTTCAATATTCAGAATGTATCGGCAATCAGAGCCATCACCACCCTAAAGGTGGAGTAAAAGTTCAATTTGAAAAAGCTCATATCTACCACTTTCCCCATGTGTCCTGAACACAACACCTTTCCTTCACTTCCTTGTCACCTGAGCCACAGGTGATATGAATGAGCATAATAAAGCCGGCCTCCATCATTCACCAGAGATTTTACCAAGTCAGTCAAGGAGGTTTGTGGTGTTTTAGTCAAAGGTTGTTGAACATTTCAACATGAAGGTTACAGACAGTAATGTGATTCGGTTTCACCTTCAAGTTTTACATGAGATTACTGTAAAGAGCTTAGTGAAGAAAAAGGAGAGACTGTCCGTGAGTGGTGCAAAGATCTTTGGTGTTCCTCTGGAGAATTTACCCCGTCAGTACATTCCTGAGTTTGGACTGGTGCCCTGGTGAGTAAGAGTACTATAAGGAAGTTTATCAACTTAAACTGTCATGCCCCAGGATTAATGCTTTGTTTTTAACATATTGTGTCTCAGCTTTTTGGTGAATGCTTGTTCATTTCTACTGGAGCGTGCTGGGACTGTTGGCCTGTTCAGAAAACCAGGCTCTCTTCCTCGCATTAAGACCCTCAGGGTAAGATTTTAACCTTTTTACCTTGCACGAATACAAGTCCTGCTGGAGCAATAGCGCCATGATGGTGGTTTGAGGAAACACTGCTCTGTATCTGACCTGGTGTGGCTTTATTGTGGCAAGATGTAAATATTGTTTTGCCATTCTTGTGTATGTGTTGCAGGCCAAGCTGAATAGAGGAGAGGGTTGTCTGATCACATCCTTCCCCAACGATATTTCAACGCTCATCAAACAGTTTTGCAGGGAGCTGCCGGAGCCATTGTTCCCCCCTGAGCTCCACGCAGCTCTGCTCCAAGCCCAGGCGCTTTCCAGTCTACAGGACAGGACTTCAGCCCTCCAGCTGTTGTCCTGTTTGCTACCCGCCAGAAACGCCTCCTGTCTGAACTACCTGTTTGACTTCCTTTCTAAAGTCTCCCAAAGGTTTGAGAGAGAACTTAATGTGGGGAAATCAAACCCTTATGGACAAAGTGTTTAGAGCACATGGAAGTGCTTTAGTCATTAGAAAGCAATATTTAAAGCCACCTGCTGCTGTATTTTTCTTTGCTTACCTGTAATCATCTTGGGACCCCTCAGATTTAACAAGGGTGGGGGTCCTGAACCCAGGTTGGGAACCACTGCTCTACAGTGTGATAGAAGTTTAATTGGCTTAAAGTTATGGGCCGTTTCCTTCCTTTCTTTCTTGTTCCCTTTGATGAGCTGAAACTCCTGAAAGTTGTTCTTCAGACAGGATTCCACGAATGTGAAGTGAATTTCAAGTGATGTACAAATTATTTTAATTCCATGTGTTTTTCCTCTTTATTCTCTGTTCATATGTGTCAGATGCACCGAAAACTTAATGACCAGCCTCAACATAGCCACGGTCTTCGCTCCGTGTCTTTTAACGCCTCCCAACAAGGCAGAAATGTCTGAAAGGCGACTTGAACTCAGAGTTCTTGTCTTGCGCACCTTCATTGAAAATCCTCACTTATTCGGTAACACAACAATCATTCAGTCCTGACGCATTCTTTTAAATAATGGTGTTTTGGACAGACTGGACATCTGCAACTTGTAAGATCTTCCCTCTATAGGTGTGATTCCTAAAGCTGTAATGGACAGTATGGATTTTCTGATTAATTTCCATCCTCTGAAAGATGCAAAGAGAGGTTGCAGAAAAGGACACAGTTTCAAAGGTAAAACACTGAGCTCTCAGAAAAAATGGAATAGTGTTATTTGCCTTTTCTCAACTGAACACTTGAATTTAATTTTCTCAAATACTTACAGGGATGTGGTCTGTGAAGACGGTGCCCTGGATTCACGGGAGGTCAAAGGGCAGACCTCCAATCCCTGAGCGGAGTCCAGAGTCCACCCCAGGAGACAAAGTACCGCTCAGGAGAAGCCTCGGCCTAGAGACTTTCCCTAATGTCCTGCTGTTCAGAACCTGTATGCCTTTTGCAGGTAAACGCAACATGAAGAAAGAAACTGGCCGTAATGAATGTGAATTTTCCAATTTTGAACCAAATGTGACTATATCTAAATTGGTTATAGAACAAGGTTTCAGCCCTGTTGGCAAAGAGGCATGCAAGACCCCGCAAGAAAGACCAGCAAGGTAAATGATAAAAGCATGGGAATTAATTTTACAGGATTAATAAGATAGAAGGGAAATGTAAGATTTAAGAATGTTGATGGTGAAATCTGATAAGCATAAATGTGATGTTTATTTAGTTTGTCTTTTTTTTTTTTGTTTTCAGAGCTCTGCGTTTGGGTCACTTTCAGACGTTCCCCAGAGGACGGGATGCAGACGGCTCTCCTGTGCACACTGGTGTCGGGAAGGTGCAGTTCACACCTTGGAAAAGACGCATTTCGCTGTAATTTTTTAAATATTAAGAAGTTGTCATGTACTTTTGCCCCACATTACTGCAGAATTTTAGATTATGGTGTCTGATGGATCGGTTTTTATTTATGTGGCTTGGAACTGTTTAGTGTCTTAAATAGAATCTTATGTTTTATTTTTTAACTTTTTAATAAATGTTTTTTCACTCTTGTATGGATGAACTTGCACCATAGTTTCATATCGAGTGAATAAATGTTTCCCCCAACTTTCTTTCTCTTTTGCCTATGCATGTTATGCATTTTATTATAGCTAAGTGATATAATAAAGTAATGTGCATCAATCAGTTTATCTTATAGAAGCGTTCTAAAAGTGCATGTCGGTAGAGGATTGAAAACAAGAATTCAACAGTTGCATTTTATTCAATTAATCATATCAAGTAAGATATGCCCTGACCACAGAGGCACATGAAATCAATTCACATAAGAACTTAAACAAATCAGCAAAAATGGAAGTATAGACACAGAAATGAGTGCATTATAAAGATATAAATGATACAATGGCAGTATGAAAGCAAGTTAAATATAGAAGGAACATGTTTTGGTTTCTGATTTGTCTCAATTTGAACACTGCATGCTGATATATAATTTATCACTCTAACCATACTGAAAATGATTACAAGATTAGCTTTCTTCTCAGAAATTGATTACACATGTTTTGATGGTATGGTCTCACTGAGACTTCTTACAGTGAAGTGTTTTTGGGGGCCCTGTGCTAATGATTGCCAGAATGTAATAGCCAATGAGCAGAGAGGATTTATGGTATTTTAGCAACTGCATCTGAACCGTGAAGTGAGGTGGATTGCGTCCTCCTGCAAGGTTGCATAACAGGCACTTATGACAGTGTGAATAGTGAAGTGTTTTTCCTTCAAAATAATGTGGGAGAAAAGGAATATGGGGACGTAAAACGTGTAGGTCACTTATTTTAGAGCAACAAGAAAGCTTTATAATAATGCTGAATCAACTTTATTTAGAATGATTTTTGGTTTAAAAAAAATAAATGTCAAACTGATTTTGGAATCTATTTTTTTCATCGAGTTTGTGAAACAAGCTTTTATTGTGGAATACGGAAATAAATGGGTTTTTTTCTGTCTAACTTGACAGCGGTCTCGCGCAGTACGCAGGTCCCATCACCATCGACGACACGGTAAGAAAAAATACACGGAAATTGCTTATTTGCTCCTTTGTGATGTTTTCTATCAACAAAAATCTACATGTCATGAAATAAGTGTAATTGAATACAGCTTATATTATAAATTATAGTGTTTCTTTTTTATAGACACAATATGTAGTTATTTACATCGGCCTTGGCTCTGTTTACAAAGTGATTGTCGCACCAAGTCTTTATTCCATTTATAGACAATTTATAACCTTTTACAGTTTCTACTAACCACAACCAGATACAACTAATAAATACAACCGCTATTTCCATATCATTTGCCCTTTTTATTTCAATAGCCTGTCATGTGACTAACAGAAAATGCAGCTGTGTTTGCACATGATTGCTGTCCATCTTTTGTGCGGTGGCCTTATGTGTTTTTCCTCGGCAGATGACAGAAATTGGCTCCGCGGTGCGGTTATCGTTGCTCGGCTTCCTCCTGTGCCTGCAGGTCGGCAGGGCTCCAGCCCGCAGCCCCCGCACGGTGGACCAGGTGTCTGAGGCCGACATCCAGCGGATCCTGCACGGCGTCATGGAGCAGCTGGGCATCGCTCGGCCAAGGGTGGAGTATCCTGCACATCAGGCTACCAACATTGTCGGGCCTCAGAGCATACAGGGTATGTTGGGTGCATTTATAAATGGTATAAAGTATCTTACATCTTCAGACGAACCAGGTGAAAGATACTTTAGCTGAACACTGGGAGGGTGCAAGGGCTTGTGAGTTGTTTACACTGTATATTCGTTTTATTTGTCCTATCTCATCTGTCTTAATTCTGCACTCATTTAGTTTTTGTCTGATGCAATTCTCCTCCTTCTGATTATAAAGAATAACACTAGCACTGGATCAGGACAACCCATTGTTTCGGGTTTGATTGGTTCTCACTGTTTCAAGGAAGCAGTGATATATTCTCTTTATTTATCCCACTATATAACTTAATACTGTTTTATCAGTCCACAAGTCAAACATATACATTTACTATTATTCATACATAACAAATAAAAACATTCACTGATTTTTTTTAATTTTGTATTGCTTAAAAAATGACTGAAGCAATCAATCTATTCTCAAAATAGTTGCATATTTATCCGCCATTTATTTAGGTCCATTTAAATGCAAGTCATATCATTGATCATTGATGGGGCTTCATCATGTGCTGAAACAACTAATGCAGCTTAAAAAGAAGGTGGACCAATGCTGTTGTGACATGGACAATATTGTCATGTATGATATTTACATAAGTGAGATATGCTTCATTGATGCCTGCTCTGGTTTTTGTGGTGATTGTAATGCGTGTCTTCCTCCACAAGGTGGTGCTCACGAAGGGCTGCAGCACCTCGGCCCCTTTGGCAACATCCCCAACATCGTGGCCGAGCTGACCGGCGACAACGTTCCCAAAGACTTCAGTGACGATCACGGGTACCCAGACCCTCCAAACCCCTGTCCCCTGGGAAAGACAGGTAGACACTCTTGTACTAAGCACTTCATTTATTAACATACTAATGAACTAATGTTGCTGTTAATGACACCACAGGGCCCGTTCTTTCTGTTCTTTATTGGGGTTTTATTGTATTCTTCTGCACCTCGTCACAGCAGTAGACGGGTGTTTGGAAAATGCTCCGGACACAGCCGAGTTCAGCAGAGAGTTTCAAAAACACCAGCACCTTTTTGACCCAGAGCACGACTACCCAGCACTGGCGAAATGGGTGAGAATTCTACAGAGAAATGTGTAACTTTATTTATTTTTTTAATCACAGATCAATTAAATGGTGAAAAATGCTCCTGTTTAGTTCCCAAATCGCTTGTCCTGTCTAAACAACAGTCACAAACAATGATCCAAAGCAGGAAAAAGCAGCAACTTTTGATGAAATAATTAATTGTTTGAATATTAATGCACATACCTCATTAACACAGAGTCTTTCACTCGGAAATCAAGTCTGCTTTTACATTTACCTGAGACACAATATTAGGTGCACATGTGAACCAGGTAAACATGTACGTATGCATACTTTATTAATTCATTTTTACATTAATTTGGCACATGCTTTTGTTTAAAGCAATGTACATGCATTTGAACACCGCAGGCATTCAAAGTCATCAACTACTGGAAGTCCAACCCTCTCAAGCGAACTAAGAGAGTGTTCTGATTGCTACACAACAAGTGTTTCGATGTTTACTTTTAAAAATAAATAAGAAAAAATAAATCCTGGATGAAATGGATGTTGGGAACAAGGAACTTGCTGGTGGCTGCTTAAAAAACAAAATGAAGACTTTTGCCATTTAAAAGATCAAACTAAACTTGTTTGTAATTTGCATTGATTCGTTCTTGTATCTGATTCTGGTCTGAAAAAAATCACCCCTCTGACTGTTTTTATTCCCGGAAAAGGCATTCAGGCAATTTGATGACAGTAATTTCGGAACAAAGCGACTGGCTATAAAACAAAGGATTTGTGATCTAATGTCTGTGTTTCCTTTCAGAACAAGGAGCTTTTGTACCAAAAACTGAAGGGAGGACCAAAAAGAAGAAAAAGGGTATCGTGTTTGTTGTCTTCTTCATTTTAAGTATTGTGTCTGGAACGAAAACACATCACCAGCACTGAAATCTACCCCTTAAGGGAGCCACATACTTATCTTATTTTTTAAATAAAACTGTCTTCTATTTGGTCTTCATGCACATGTTTACAGTGTTTACAGTGTTAATATATTTCCCTGCCTCCCTGCAGAGTGTCAACCCGTATCTAATGGGCCAGAGGCTGGACAATGTGGTTGCCAAAAAATCTGTTCCTCACTTCTCTGAGGAAGAAGAGGAAGAGCCCCCAACTGCCTCTGCTGCCAGCAAATCTACAACCTAAACTCCTGCACCTGCAACACTCACTGTAATATTAAAGTATACTCTCAGATACAAGTTTGTTACACTACATATTTAAGCATTTTGGTTCTAACAAGCAATGGATTTGTGACTTCATGGCAATACTGTAAAATAAGAAATAGTATGCAGATGAAAGAGAGGCACATTTTTATTGTATTGCAGTCATATTAATTAGCCCAGATCTTGTTCATTAATTAGACAGCATGTGCCTGAAAAGTGTTTCTCAGTTCACTTATAGCAACCAATTTTATACAGAATAGTCACATTGCCTGAGATTCAACCGTTTTAATCCAAAATGCTAAAATACTATGTGTTTAAGTCTTGACTGTCAGTATACAACTGTATTATAATAAGACGTATAAAGATATTTTGATTTGGAGGAATGTTGAATGAGAAAGTCATAATTACTCATGGCTGTACAGAAATCAATTTGCTCACTGACGTTTCTGAAGTTTTTGTATGTCTTGCTATAACCAATTAATCACCTCTGTGTCTTCAGAAGCAACAGTTCAATACAGTTCCTATTCTTGGTTAAGTTCATTATGAACGGTAGCAGCTTTGCTTTGTCATGTAAGAGATGACTTTGAACTCTGTCACCGTCGCAAGGCAAATATTGTAGCTCTCATTCTCATTAGTATCTGTTCTCGTCACCATACTGCAGTAACATGAGCCTCTACAGGCAGCGCTGAGTCTCATCTTATGTAAAAATGTCTGTGTTATGTTTTAGCTCTGTGAAGTCAAATAAACAATTTATCTGCATTGACAAAGTTTGGAGTTGGATTGTATCTCCCATTTCAGACAGATGAAGTTAGGATCTGGGTTTGGTGGGGGGGGGGGGGCGTGTTCTGCTGAAGCTCTGTGGCTCAAGAGAGTGTAGAAAACCACTCAGCATGTCATTCATAAAGCCACTAAAGAGGAAGAAGGACCTGCAGAAGAAACACATACTGTAGTGTGACTGGACAAAGTCTTCTTGTGAGGATCTTAAATCAGCAACAGGTAACTCAATGCAGTAACTGCTGATTTTGTTTGTTAACTTAACTCCTAAATATCGTGTATTTACTTGTTTATTTGCTACTTGTTTGGTGCGTAATGCGCGCGTAAAAGTTGGGCGTAAAACGTAAAATACTCTTTCTCCTTCAGCTTCAGTGATGAGGACACAATCAGTGCTGATCTCCGCAGCAGTTTTGGTGCTGCTGCTCGGCCCGCTAAGAAGCACAGATGCTGCCACATATCAGGGCGCGTTCCCACACCCAAACAAATACAACCCAAGCGAATCGGATAGATGCCAGCAACCGGCCATCAGTGGATTCATTTCCCGCGGGATGGGACCTGTAACCTCTACCGACGAAGTGCTGGAATCCAGTCAGGAGGCGCTGCACGTCACGGAGCGTCGGTACCTGCGGCTGGATTGGTGCAAGACGCAGCCGCTAAAGCAGACCATCCAGGAGGAGGGCTGCCTGAGCCGCACCATCATCAACCGGTTTTGCTACGGACAGTGCAACTCCTTCTACATCCCGAGGCATGATTACCAGGACGGAGACGCCTTTCAGTCCTGCTCTGCCTGCAAACCCAAAACCTTCAGCACCGTCACGTACACCCTCTTCTGCCCTGGTCAGACACCCAGCACGAGGAAGAAACGGATCCAGCGCGTCAAGCAGTGTCGCTGCACAACAATAGATACGGATTAGACGCAAACCGACTCATCCAGGTTGATAATATCCGCGTTCAATTGGAAGACAAGTGCAGTTTTGCAAACATAAAAAAACGGAAAGTGTATTTTTCTTAAAGGACACTTTAGAAGTAAGTGTGACTGGGAAGGCGATGCACTTACCTGAGTTATTTTTTATCATTGTATTGGAGAGAAGATGCTGATAGACTATGCATGAGTGGTTGGTTCAGGTGCTCTTTTCCCTCTAAAATGATAGTATGAGCTGCAATTAATAATTCATCACTGTCCAAATATCTTGCAGTTATCAGTTATCATTGCTTCCACAAAGTCGTTTTTTTGTTTTAACAGATTAAGTGGATGTGTCAAATAGTTTTAGGTGCAAGGACATGGCCAAAGTTTAAGGTTTAGTTAAGAAGTGAACTGATGGCCTAAAACAGTGTTTAAGTTGAAGGCAGGCAGATAGATGTGCAGCATCTTCTCAGAATATAAGTACAAAGACAAGTCTATGAAGGACTTGGATGGTTGTATTGTTTCCACTGTGTGGGATGTAAAGCTGATCATATAGAGGCTTTTTTTCTTTTCAACCTGCACTGCTAACCGTCACTTCATTGTTTGACTGTGTATAATATGTGTATCATGTATTGTAAAGTTGCTTGTGAATAAAAAAAAAAGCTATGAAATCACATACTTTCTGATCAGTGATTTTATTCATCAAAAAACATATTCTAAGAATATTAAGATGTCAAAATCAAAGCAAATCATTTGTTCATAACAAGAATATTAATACAGCACTGATAATATTATTATTATGATAAATATTGTACATTTATTACATTTGTTATCTTTAAAATCTCAGCACATTAGAGCAAATTATGAAATAAAACTGCCAGTGAATGATGAAGGAGACTTCTATATTGTCAGGTAAAAGAAACAACAATTTTGTAATGATCCCGATCTATCAGTTTTATACACCTTCTCTCTTAAGAATGCCATGTTGAAGACACGTTTGATTCTCTACGACGCAGTCTGTCTTTCTGTTGAGAGCAAAAAATGGTTAGTGTTATAAATAGAGTCCAAAAACACTGCATATTCACAATTCAATCAAAGCAGCAAGACAGAAGTGTTTTGTAATATGTGGTGTGTCATAGAATGAGAGCACGAGTATATTTGTGAATGTGTATTTATCTGCATTGCATGTTGAAGGCCTGGATTAGGAAATGTGCGTTTTTAGAAGAAAGTCTCTTTGTGTCCTCAGTTTATCGACTCCATCCTGAATCTCATCTTACCAGGCTGTTGGGGTTGATCTGTCTGGTCTCCACCTTCTTCTCTGCTGTGATCCTCTTCACTGACAGCTGAGCCTCTTTTAATCTGCAGAAACAATGTGTCAACTTCATTGGTTTCATTTTTTTGTTCAGACTTTGGCCTGAAAATGAAAAGCTAAGTTACTTACAGTATGAATTCAAATGCATCAACCAAAGAATTAGTCGATTTTCTCTGCCATCATTTACAGAAAATGAATGAATAAAATATTGTCAGTCAGTCAGTATAAGTTCAGTTCAATCAAACCAAAGAAAATATTTTTTCCAACGACATGAATTATGGCGCTCCACTGTCTGTGAATCTGTCACATGCAATACTTTCTATTACTGACTGGACTTTTTACAAAACGTCAGGTGACTTTGGATTTGTACAATTGCATTCATTGAGAGAAGCCAACTGGATCAACCTGCTCAATGTTTTTGCATCACCCAAAGGGTTTTCCCAAAAACTATTCATTTTCCGATTCTGAACTGAATCCATTTTTCAAAATTCAATTTTAAAAACCCCAGAGCTATATCTGTTACCTCTCGTTAGAGATGTTCTTGTTCTCCCTCTTCCACCTGGCCTTGAAGTCTGCACAAAACTCAAACCACAGCATGAAGAGATGAGTCACCTCATTCTCTCCCATCTTGGGCTTCAGTCCAAAGTACAGAAGCAAGTCCTGAAAACTGAACAGCAAATATAAAAAAGAGAGGATGAAAAGCACAATAAACCAAGATGGAGGTGTTTAGCCTGGTTGTTTCCCATCCTGGGTGTTACTGTAGGTCTTAAGCCCATTACACGTAAACAGATATTTTTGAAAACAGATATTTTCTCCTTTTTTGAAATAAGAAACTTTGTCCGCACAACCTTTGTTTTACAAAATATATGATTAAGGCTACGTCAAAGATATGTCAAATACCAGAAAATAAGATTTTCAGCATGCATAGGGAACTTATTTTCCTTTGGCGCATTAACAAAGCAAAAAATATTGACTTATTATTTCTTTATTCATAAATATTTGATACCTATTTATTTAAAATCTTTCTGGTACAAGGTGTTATGGCAAAACCAAAATGTGACTTGTGTGTGGACGGACAAGGAGGTGGAGTTGCTGCTCAGCATAACCTTCACATACCGGCAGTCCGCCATAGAGTGCTGCAAGGACGGAGTATTTCTGTCGACCTAACTCCTTAAGTTAGCATCTCACTGGTTCCCTCGACAAGATGCCAGTGAGATTTCTGCATTGGATTTTGGATTTTTGCAGGAAATGAAACTAAATAAACTAAATCACCAAATTCAAAGGCCAGCATGATTAAATTCTCCAACCTTTTTTGTACAGTCATCAACTGATACGAAGCTTCTGAGTGTTCCTTTCGTGCTGCAAAGAAACAGACGAGGAAACTGTTTAGTTATAGCCAGACTACTCCCAAAAAATTGTAAACAATTATAATCCCTATTAATATAAATACTTAGTACTAGATACTAAAAATACAATAAAAATATCTTGTCTGATGGTGAACTTGTCAAATGGAGCCAGACAACCATTTAGGCTCTCGGATTTGGAAGCAATAGAGATAATTTGACTTCATTCTGCTGCAATTTAGACCTATTTTCTTTTTATTATGACACATTCTGTTATAAATCTTAGTTTTGTTTGATGGTTGTACAATTGTGACGCTCGTCTTAGAAACATCTTAACACGTCTTTTATTTTACACCTTACTGTAAAGTCTTGCAGAAAATAACACAAATTGTTTCAGACAAATGCACACACAGTCCGATTCATCTTCAATTGTTTTACAGTGCGTTCAGAAAGTATTCAGAACCCTTCACTTTTTTATGTTTTGTTATTTTGCAGTCTTATGCTAAAACCATTTAAACAAATGTTTCCTCTCATCAATCCACACTCTGTAATACAATACAGTTAATACAATGAATTTGTTCTAAAAAACACTGAAATAAGCTGACAAATTGGCACAAGTATGCCTTTTCTATTTCAGTTCAAATTTAGCTCAGGTGCTTCCCATTTCTCTTGATCATCTTTGAGATGTTTCTACACCTTGATTGGAGTCCACCTGTGGTAAATTCAACTGATTGGACATGATCTGGAAAGGGACGCACCTGTCTATATAAAAGGTCTCACGGCATGACAATGCACATCAGAGCAAAGACCAAGTCATGAGGTGGAAGCAACTGCTGCAGAGCTCAGAGACGGGATTGTGTTGAGGCACAGAAAAAAAAACCTAAAATCCTGTTTTCACTTTGTTATTATGGGATATTTAGTGTCCAGAGAGATTGATGAGGTTTTAGCACAAGACTGCAACATAACAAAACAACAAAAAATTGAAGGCCTGGATGTTCTGTGAATGCGCTGGATATCAAATGAAACACACGTGATACAAGGGACAAAAGATCTAACATAAGTCCAACGGTCTCTGTACGCTTTGATGTGTCACTTTTCATCACAGGCAGAAAAAGTGGTGGTATTCAAAACAAGTCATGCATGTAACGTTACGATACATCTGTGCCATTTCAAAATACTTCGAACAGGAAGCTCTTTAACGCGGGACATCGGGGACATTGGTTGGATAAATGTTTCCCAGTGCCGGTGTGTCTCAGGCAGGAGTCTCTCAGTCGTTGCCAAATGTGTCTGATCCCTATCTGAGTGTCTAGCCTTGACTCTCAATCCATCCTATCTGCCCTTCACAAACACACAGGCAGTTACAAGATGTAACTGCCTGTTAGAGACAATAGCAGAGTTTAGATGAAGCATACAGAGAGAATAATTGAAGGAGAGTTGACAGGTTCCTGATGATCATTCTTGGGGGAGTTTGCGTTTAAATGAAATCATCTGAAGTTAAGTATTTGCAGTACTGTTAGATATTACATCTGAGCCTTAAAATGGTTTCAGAGGTCTTAAAATGTGTGTTTTTCTTTACCAAGAACGAAGTCTCCAGAAAGAAATCTAGCTTGTTGAACACAGAAACATGATGCCGGTCTTAAATCTCACCTATAGACACTCAGGTTCACAGCTGAACAATATACGAGTTTAATTACTTACCGCTGAGAACAAAAGCCTCCATTTTGTCCTGAAACGGCTGCAGGTTTTCTTCGGGAGAATCAGAGCAAACGTTCTGTACATCTTTCTCACATCCTGATTTTAAAAAAAAATAAACGAGAGAACGGTTCAGACACTTTTATGTTTCAGAAATGTTGTTTAAGAAAATATAAAGTGTAGCTGCGGAGGAAAGGGAAATCATCGCATCAAATATGTATCAGTGCTGTTGAATCCAGGTTTCTTTGGACATGATGTTCTGATTTGTTTGCTTCAAAACTTTTTGCCACAAGTAAGTCGTTTAAATCTTTATTTTGAGAAAGTTTCTTGTTTTTTGATTTATTAATTAAGTCATTATGTTGAGAAACTAAAGGCTTTTGCACAACAAGTCCGTATTTGTTGTAGTTTAAAAATAAATATGAACTCATGTTGTTACAATCACATTTACGCACCGACTCCGAAACGTTTGTCGTCATTAAAGTTTTTGGAACAGGTTTGATTTTCTGCATTTTTTTCCGCATCCATCGAATGCCAAAAGAGTGTCATCTGACCACTCAGAGCCACCGTCCATGCAAACGTAATAATCCAACATTTCATCTGACTAACTGATTCACAAAGCACTTTACGATGACCAAAGTAAAGCATACACAGATGCAGAATTTAAGGGATTCAGAACAGCTTGGAATCAGGGATGGGAGCAAAGCAGTGGCATCAGTAAACATGTGCTAGGCAGCTAATCGATAGCTTCTTGCTAATGTCATTCATTCATTAGCCCCGTTTGGAACTAGCACTATCCATTGCATCCATGTAATAATTCAGTTTTATCTCATTTTGCAAAAATAGAACAATAAAAAATGCATCAAACTCAGTGTGCAGGGTTTCTGTGGATAGCAATTTTTATCTGATGAAGGATTAAAGTAAAGTTTATGATACGGCCTTTAGTCATTATTTTCAGATTTTGACAAGGTTTGTCAGGATATTTTTTTTTGTCTTATTTTATTTTTTATTTTACTGGTGGAAACGGGCTTCCATATGGAGGAGAGCGTGTTCTGGTTTAAACTAGCTCCACCTGTGCAGAAGCAGGAGGTTATCAACACAGCTTGCTCTCTACAGCAGATATCACTTGTTTAGATTCACCCAGAGATGGCGACTGCAAACTCCCTTTCTCTCTCTCTCTCTCTCTCTCTCTCTCTCTCTGTCCCTCTGCCAGTCTGTGGCTCCATGTTGATCTGCGTCCAATCAGTGGATCAGAGGAGCCAGTCTGCAGAGCCAGTCATAATAGAGGCTGCAGAGGGAGCCGAGCCCCTGCCCCGCCACCTCCCCGCACCCTGACGCTCGATCAACATCTCCCAGATAAGATTACAAAAGAATACTGTTTTCATTCGGAATTTATGTAAACTGTGGAGGCGGGTATCTCTCTCTCTCCTTTCTTTCTTTTGTCTGCCTTTTGTGTTCGACAGAAGTTTGCTTATTTCAGACCGAAGAGGGTTAAAGACCTTCACATAAACAGAGTCGCCTGATGAGGGGTGTGGTGCTTTCATATGTGAGGCTGAAGCAGTCATTTGGTTCTTCGGAGATTTTAAAGTTTTGGTGATGCATGCTAACGCTTGCTAATTAGCTCAAATCACAAAGTACAACTGAGGCCAAAAGTAACCAAAGAAACCAAAGTAAATTAAAAATGTTGACCTGATGCTGGAAGCTACGGGAAAAGTTAAGGGATCACCAAAGTTAGCGAATCATCCTGAAGGGAATTTGAATGTGTGGACCAAATTTCATGACAATCCATTTGATCAACCACATCGCGGCTCTAAAGGAAGAAGTCAGTGCCTCAACAAAGTTTGTTGGATCTATCCTCTGGGGATCATGAATGTCTGCACAGCATTTCATGACAATCCATCTGATAGTAGTTGAGATATTTTGCTCTGGACCAAAGTGTTGGACTGACCGACATTTCCATCCACAGTTATGCAGATAGCGTGGCTATTGACACATTCAGGGGATCGTTATGTTCTCATGTATATGTTATGTGTGTGCCGATACCTGTTGACAGCGAGTTTTACTGCTGAATACACGGCTGGGGATTTTTTAAATGTCTAACGCTGTGGGGCAGCAGAGACAAAATTCTACTCACCATTGAATTTGGGCAAGAAGAAGATATCTCAGAGCCTAGACAAATGAAACCAAATCGGCATCTCCACATGTAGATACCAATCACAGGCAATTGAGAAACTATGTTTTTGGTAGTAATTTGGATGAATTTGAAACTGTGAATAAGGTCTTGTTTATGTAGAATCGTCTTTGGATCTCATCTCCTTCAACGGTCAACGTGGATGACTTACGAGAAACAAATTCCCCGGTAACTTTGTTGGGAAACATTTCAAACCAACCAAACAGAAAACACAGCGAGAGTGAAGAACGACAGAAACGAGGCACAAAGACGGTTCAAACAAGCAGAAGAAAAGGAACCCGCGACGGGCAATGCAGATTGCACGGTGGTTTGGGTAGACGGGCCGATAAGACAAAGCTGTGTTGAGAGCTAAAGAAAGCTATCTGCGGCACACATCTGGGGGCCACACTGGAGCCCAGGTGATACAGCCGAGCAGGTTGAGCATCTGTGCATCTCTGCAGAGGCCCGTGCAGAGATGCTACGGATACTGGAGGTCTGGAGATTACATAAGTGGGGCGCTGTGGTCTCCCTGCTCTGGCGACAGCAGCACAAAGGCAAACGATGGGAGATCTGATGGGCATGAGGATTAGAAGCTGGATCTGAAAGGCGCCAGGCCTGTATCAGCAGCAAGACTCCCGCTAGTCTCTGACTACACGCACAGTGAAGTGCAGGCAAAAACAAATGTATACATAGTGATACAACAATGCACTCGCTCACAATCATACGCATGTAAGAGTAAGCATTGTCCTCAACGTGACTCTAACTGGCTGGCATTGCTGAGTGGCGTCATATGGGCACACTTAGAGAGAGAGAACAGGCTAGAAGGATAAGAAAGACGAGAGGAAATCTTTTGTTCTGGGGCTTTAGCGATCTCAAGTTTGGTAAAAGAAGCAGGCCTTTAGCCTGAAGTATAAACAGTTACTCAATGGCTGGGGCCGGTGATGGGGAACTATGGTGTTGAGTTGTGTGTGTGTGTGTGTGTGTGTGTGTGTGTGTGTGGGGGGGGGGGGGGGTTGTGTCTGAGGAAAAACGATGCCAGACCAGGGCCGAGGTTCGGTCTGTGGGAACCTCTCAAAATCAGAGGGATAGAGTTACACAGCCCCGCTGAGGTTTTCAAACAAAAGCACACAACAAAATGACCACAAGGCGAGACCATTCCGGTCACCCAGTCACATGGATGCTGAAGCTCAGAGTGGAACTAATGTTTTGGGGATTATCATCTAATATTATTAACCAAGAGGGTCTCTCTTTTGTGGAGAGACGGGGCTGGAATAAATGAAGGTTACAGGAGTGACGTCACATACTTGTCAGATCTCGTCCAAGCTGTCTCAGGTCTGTGTTGAGGTCATCAAACTTGACCTGTGCAGCGAGGAAGACATCCTGAGGTTCAGGAAGTGGGAATATACTCTTGTCTGTGCCGGCGTTCTGGTGGAATACAATTTAAAAAAAAAAAAAAAAAAAAAAAAAAACGGCAATAACATCAGAAACTGAGCAATGTAATGTTTCTTTTGACTCAAAAAACAATGTTAGATCCGAGTCAAAATGGGTAAAGACACATATAGTCAACCTAGAATAGTGAATAGTTGTTTTTAAACTATTACCTCATCCACATTGTGCAGGTAGTACGACACTACATAGTCCACCAGGCTGATACGATTGTCCTGAGAAGAAAAGCAGGAGAGGATTCACAACTGCATCAGTAGAAAGTAAAAGCTTTTCAAAGGTATTCTAGAAAAGATTGTCAAGCTGCATGAAAGGATTTACGCTCCATGGGATCGCTCAGACAGATTTGATATGTTTGATATATGTGTTGAGGGAATAAATTCAGTTTCTGTGAGTTGATAAAAAATGTTGAAGTCATTTAGTTCACCTTTCTTTTATCACCATGGGGGTCGTGGAGTTTGACCTCCCAGGTGACATGCTGTAACCCGATGAATGGTGTTCATCGGTAGTTTTTTAAAAATGTAAAACCTTTAATATTATATTTATATATTATATAATTAAGTTAATATTCTCATGACAGGGTTTGAAAAGTGACTTGAACATCAATCAAAGATATGGCAGTGAAACGCTCCTTTGTTGTGAAGAACATTTTCTATCATTAAATATCAGGTCTCTGTAAAATAAAATGATATATATTTATTTTATTGCCCTTATTATGGAAAGCATGCTCACGATATGATATGGTATTCACTTATTCTATATAAATATTTTTTTATATCTTTAATATAAAAAAAACTACCTCCTCAGCACCTGCTCAGCAGGTTCCTGCCACATCCTCACATATTGTTAACCATTCACAACAGATTGTCTTTACACTAGAAACTTTTATACATATACTCCCTGAAAAAAAACAATATTTAGCATGAGTAAATTCTGCAGTATTTAAAAAGCAGCATCTAAAAGGAGCTGCTACGGTTCTCCAACCGTTATCAAGGCCTTACTCTGCTCTTCACATCCTTCAGTTTAGGCAGAATGTCCAGACCAAAGCCGTCAGCCTGACCTCTGGTCCTGTTGCCTCCGTTCATGTGGTTCCCCAGAGCCAACACCAGCCCCATCACATCCGTTACACCGTCGTTCTCCAGCAGAGCCTGAAAACAGAAAACACTCACAGGATCAACTACAGACAGCTGACACCACACTCAGGGTGATCCACACATTAAATCCTGTTTGAATTACACTTAAAACCTTTTTGAGTTAGGCTATGGTGATGTCATTTATATGGAAAATACACTGAACATCTCATCATTGAACCAGAGGGAGTCAGACATGTAGGTGCTACTTGTTAACACTACAGACAGCTCAAATATGTGTTAGGATGTTAATATGTTGAGAGGAAAAGGGAGATAATTGTAGAAGATAGATCATGTGTAGCTTTCCTTCCTACCTTGCAGACAGAGGAGACCGTGTTGAGCTTTGTTTGGATGGACGTGATCCCATCGATGAAGACCGACTGGAAGATGATGCAGTGAGCTCTGCCTACAAAGTCTGGGATCTGAGACAGCTCATACAGGAACCTGGAGCACAACCACATCAACAGTAAGAGGACCAAAATGTGATGATATTGTCCATCCCTCTTAAGAACTGAGTTAAGACACAGCATATAATATATTTGTCTCGTCAGCATACACAAACAAAAACACAAATCAATTACTGGCGCAGCCTCTAAACATTTGTGTTAGCAGGTGAAATACTAACTGTTCGGGTTTGTCCAGCAGTTTAACTTCCTCCTCTTCTGACGTCTCGTAGTGTTTCTTGATTCTCTCCAGTTCCTCTGGCTGCGCTCTCTGACACATTGACAACAAACGGGGTTCATGATCGTACAATTGCATTTGCAGTTAAACCGCAGCATGTCGTAGTGGTCGTGGGCTGTGACACCTACATTTTCATACAGTGCCTCAATAGTCTCCAGGTCCACCACCGAGTGGTCCACTGCCAGTACAGCTAGAAGGGGGATGTTAAGAACAGAAACACATTTGAGATAAGGCGGGTAATAGGACACTGTGAAAATCTACTGAAAAGAAGAAAACAGGAAAAGTGAAGAGGCCAAACAGAGAGCTGCAGATCTCCAGAGGAACATGAACACGCTCCTCTCAGTCTGCTGTTTGTGACAAAGATTTACAGGAGTTTGTCAGATCGTCTGTCTGTAACTGTCATGCTGACATTGTGGTGAGTGTGTCAGCCTTTAATCCTACTTTATATTCACCAACAGCTCTTATTCAGAGTGAAGTACAGGGTAACTGCAGCGTGATGCCGGGGTTTGGGATGTTCAGGGAGCTAGTTGCGTAAATGTTTACAGAGGAATCCTGTCTTGTTCCCAGACTGGCTTGGAAATACAGCTAGTTCAGTGATTTACTGTAATCTCTAATCTCATGTCATAGACACGATGATGTTTGTTTGATTACACACATTTTGAGGTTTTAATGGCAATGCTCATGATAGGCTTGTCCACCACGACAAGAATATCTGGGAGAAACACTGAGAATGTATAAGTATGGGAACATTTAAAATATCGTCTCAGCAAGCTAACGTAACGTAAATAATACTTGCCAGTCGTGGGAGAAGTTTTCAGATTTAATTTACTGTAAACAACCTGCAAAGCTCTAGCTGTCAGGTGTGATAGAGTACAAAGGAGTAAAAAATACAGTGAAATGTAGAGGAGTAAAAGTATAAAGTACTTGAACACAAGCTTTGTTTACATCCTGATATATGATACTACAGATACTTCTGAAGCCACTTTTATGAACTTTATTTGGGGAGGATTTGATCGATGAATTGATATGGCTAGTGTGGCAAATGTAGGCTTCATATATTTTGATATTGGGCTTTGAAACAATTATGATAAAAGAAGCAACAAAAAATGTTGCTTTATTTCAATTCAAACTTTTATTGTACTCTCATACAACTGACCTTGTTGTATGTCTTTCATCTCCAGGTGAAGGCTCGATATGAGGATGCCCACGGCCTGAGAGCGCTTTCCATCCAGCAGCTTAATGATCTGAGCACGCACACACACACACACACACACACACACACACACACACACACACACACACACACATACACACATACACACACTGTTGCCATGACCACCTTACCACTATAGAAACCATTAGTGAGTCATTAGCGAAGAGTTTATCGTAAAAAGAAGGAGCAAAACAAACAACAAAGTAAATCACAGCTGTGAGTTGAATATAAATCTCTTGGTTTTTGGAGGACATAAACTCAAACATGGGTGAATTCTTTAGTGTCTTTGTCCTCCAGAAGTCTCATAATTGTGTCTCAATCTGGATTTATAATGCTCGTCTTTTAATGACCTGGCATCTGAAGACTCGATGGCATCGACCCCCTCTAGTGGACAAACAACATAAAGCAAACAATCCCTCAAATGAAGGTGTGTCTTTGCAGGATGTTCCAGCTAATTTGGAGTGTTACCTTCCTGTCTTTGGCTTTCTTCTCATAAGCCTCTGACAGTGGCTTCTTCTTGGTCTGGGTGGTGGTTTTGGCAAAGAGATCCTCAAATTCGCTGGTGTTTATGATATTTGGTTCCTCTAAAATATTCCACAGTGTCTTGTTCCTGAGTGTGAGAGAGGGAGAGAGAGAGAGAGAGAGAGAGAGAGAGAGAGAGAGAATGTTTAGTCAGCCTGCGTTTCAATGTTTTTCTTTTAAAATGTACTTTTTTTAAATGTGTGTTTTTAGATCATAATGATTTTTTTACTTGAATGATTCATATAATAACTGATTTCATAATTCCTTATGTATTCATATATTATTTGAATACAAAATATAAATAAATGTGTTTTAGTTTTTTATTAGATTCAAATGTCTACTGCTTTCAGCACTTGAAAAAACACTTTTGACTCTCTTTAACTTCAACATCTTAGATTCTAAATAATTGTAATTAATTTCATGTGTTTTATTTATTTGTCTAATAGCCATTTAGGAGAACCGCGACTATATGACTCAAATATTGACATTTTGATTTCATTAGATTGATTTTTACAGTCACAGACAATTCTTACTTAAACATAGAATCAAATGACCTGACCTGGTTTTTGGATTATAATCATCTTGTGTATTTTCCTATTTATTGTGAACCTACTTGGTGTCCTGGATCTGGATTCTGGTCCAGTAAAGAGGCTTCATGGGTTGGGAAAGCTCCACTGTCAGTTTCCTGGGAGGTTTTTCAACAGTGAGACCCCAAGCAGGAGGTGGTGGGGGAGCAAATCCTGGCATGGATGGAGGAGGAGGAGGAGGTGGTGGTGGTGGTGGTGGCAGCGGAGGCGGCGGAGGTGGAGGTGGAGGGCCATTTGACAGCTGCATGTGGTTTAAGGGTGAAGACAAACATGGCGGAGGTGGAGGAGGAGGAGGAGGAGGAGGAGGCAGATTGTCTGTTTTGGTTGCCTGAGAAGGAGCAGGAGGTTGTTTTGACGGAGGCAGCGTGGCTCCAGGTGGAGGAAGAGGTCGGGATGGAGGGTCATGTGTTGAGGAGGAAGTATCGTCCCTCTGACCTGCCAGACTGAGGCTGATGGAAGCCAGGTCCAGCTTTTTGGGGGTCACCCTCTGCTGCTGAGGGCTGGTGCAGACTCTCCCTGAATCTTCTCCATCCTCGTGAGTCTTAACAAATGTCTCTCGGTCGGTCTGGATGCACACTGTGCGGAAGGATTTGTGTACAACGTCGTCTTCCGTTGATACTGCGACGTCTTTGAGTTCTCCGCGACGGCGCGTCCCAACCTGGGAGAGTTCGGCCTGCAGCTCAGCCAGACGGGCGACATTGTCCTCGTTCTCTACCCTCAGTCTGGAGAGTTCCTGACCAAGGTCCTCCTGGAAATAATAAAAGCCCCACTTTGTAATGTAATGATAATGAATGCATGAGAGTTACAAACTGGGGCTAGTTAGACTCTACATCAATGGGGATGATGGTAACGGCCCAGTTTTTCTTGAAGGAACTGTTCAACCTTTTAGGAAATGCTTTTTTTGCTGAAAGGTAGACGAGAAGTCTCAGCAAGAAGCACATAAGTGAATATCCCAAAATAATGTCAAACGATTCAGCAGCACACCGTGGTTCAACTCCTCACTGTATCATTCATACTGACCTGTAAATTCTCCAGCTCCTCTTTGCATTCTCTCTTCAGCTGCAGGAGAGCAGCCTGGTGCTCTGAGAGGAAACAGAGCACAAGGACATTTTACAACAGCTTTGTGTTCCTTTATTGTACCACAAACAGGTGTTTACTATTACAGATGTGGAGCCCGAGAGTGCTTCCTTTATCCCAACGGCTACATTAGTGATCTGGACAGGGACCAGCTGAGGACGAACAAATTACGACAACTGTGAGACACTTGAGAACTGTGAATAATTCTGCATGACAAATCCAATTCATGTTTTAGCACTGCAGGAGGCTGAGGGCTGTTTGAGGATATATCAGCAATACAAAGCTTGACCAGATGCTGGCAGTAGAGCTTCACATGGAGGAAAAGCTTATGGCACACACAGCTTACTCTTGAACAAAGGATGGTGGGTGTGTACCCACCATCCCTGCTCAAACAACCTTTGATAAACCTTATGATAAATGAGGACATTTTTCAAGTCAGGTGAGATTATTCTAATTTAGAACTCATTCAAAGGAAGCAGGAGCACTTTTGTTCCTTTAACAAGCTGTGAGTGACATACTTTGAACGTGTCCATTAGTTGAGACTCATTACTCCTTTAAAAAGCATTGTTTTGTGAATAAAAACCAAAGTAAAAGCTTCTTATTACGGTTTAATATGTGAAGACAAGGTGTTTCAGACTGGTCTGTAGCGTGAGGCCGGACTTCATTTTGACCTCAGATTTATGTAAGTTAGACCGTTTTTACAAATGCAAAGACTGACTTATTTTAAGTAAAACAACTTAGAATTGTTCAGTCCAGTAAATCCCTTCACATCCTGAAGGTGCTGGAGTCTTACAGACTGGTTTGCTGTCACAGGGTGGAGTTGTGTTTACCAAAGCAGTGGAGCTTGATATCACATCCATCACATGATATCACAGAGCAAACATTCCCACTCCCTCCACAGCTCCGTCTCAAATGAGCTGTCTGTAATGAATATTCAGTTGAACATGATGAGTCTGCGTGGATTTTTATTTTTATTTTACAGGCTGGTGATGTATTCATTTTATGTATTCAGATTTATTTTAGCAGGCTCAAGTTTACACTATTTGTTTAACCCTTGTGGTGATCCCAGACCCTCATTAACAGACACAAACACATATTTAACGTCAGATGTCTGCTAGCAAAAACCCCACATTACTTGTTTTTCGGGTCTTGCACACTGCAAAACAAACTTTTAATGCAACGTTTACCCTCCCAAATCCCAAATGATAAGAGGAGTCCATTAGTTTTAGAGGTCTAACTGACCTGACATGCTGTACATTTACTTTGTCTGTGAAGAACTTTCTGGCAATAAAGGACTATATAGTTGTTCATCCATAGCTCACCTTATGAAGCAAGATATTTCTTTGCTTAATTAATCTAATTACAATATCTTATGCTCATTTTTATGTCACCTTCATCAAATGTGCATGCTCAGTTTGGAGCAAAAGGAGAGGTTTGCACTTAAATACTTTTCTACAGATTGGATTTGAATGAGGCTAGAAGAAAAGACAAAAACATATTTGAAGAAATATTTTCATACAGAAGAGGAGTCTGTGTGATCCCAAACAATCAGGTTGGAAGAGCAAACCTTTTTATGACAAAAATATGAATGTATATTAATCTGTGAGTACCTGCTTCACTGTATTTCAGCCCAACTTTTTCTTCCTTAAGTGGCGGCCAGACGGCTTGTAGGCGACCAGGAGTTCTGTCCTCTCCCTCTGCTGGGGTCGATGCTTCTGACTAGGAGGAGGGGGGGGAGTTTGACATTAGATTTATTACAATCAATTACAAACAGAGCTTCTTTACGCACAGGACAGTATTTCAAACATGGCTCTGGTAAAGCTAGTTGATGCTTTATTTATACACAACTCGTACTTTGCCATGAGGTGATTCTTTCTTCTCCTGCGTCTTGTTGGAGGTTTTGTCGAAAAGCGGTCTAAGCGCATCTTCATCTGCTCTTATCTTCCATCTCACAGCATCCAGGTCCGCCTTCTCAGTTGGGTCCTTCTTCAAAGGCTTTGGGGTGAAAAAAGCTTTGAAGGCACCAAATGCAGCTTCTGCACTGGACACAGAGGGTTTCGTAGACTCAAATGAAACCCCCGCACCCTCCCCTGTTTCAAGTTCTTTCCCCTCACCCTCTTGACTTTCTTCAATCTGGTTCTTCTCATTCTCTTCCTGATCTCCCTCAGCCTCCATTTCCTCCCTTTTCTCTTTCTCATCCCCTCTCTTTTCCTTTGTCAGGAATTGGGAGATCTGGTCCAGGAAGTTCCCTTGAACTTTAGCATCCCTCTGCTTCTCAGGGAAAATGTCCCTCCTCGTTCCTTGAGAGAAAGGTTTGATCTGGGCCACGGTGTCGTGCCCAGGCCCGACTACCCCCTTCCTCAGGACCCTCAGGCCGCTGAAGAGTGCTGGGATCTGGATGTCCTTGTCCGTGGGGGAGACTGGGGTGAAGGTGGCTCTGGTGCAGATGGATCCAGGTGGAGGGTTATTGGCTGCAGATGTTATCAGAATATTTGTTGAAGTGTCTTTGGTGCTGGGAGGATTGTGAGATTGGGCGGAAAAATCTGGAAATGCATCTCTTTTCTCTTCTTCACTGTCCTCCTCTGCACCTGTTCTCTCCTCCTCATCATTATTTTTGAAGCAGGAAGGGCCATCGGTTTGCTCCAATGACGGTGCTACTATGGCTTCAGCCTCTTCCTCAACCGCAGGTCTTGTCCGAGTCACCAATATCACTACATGTTTGGTTTTAGAGGATCTACTTTTCACATATTCCTCAGAGTCAAAACCCACATCTGAAATGGATGCACTTGTGGCAAAATCTTCCTGGCAGAGAACATTTTTGTTGCCTTCTATTCCTCTCTGATTGGCTTCTTCAGCATCATCCTGCGTGACACTGACTGCTGCAACACATTCACAACCTGTATTCGTGCAGTCATTTGAAATGTGTTGAGGCTTTGGTTGCTGAGTCTCCTTCAAGGTAGGTTCACACAGCGAGTTCACGTTTACAGCCACGCTTTGCTGCTCTGTTAGGTTGACATTATTCCGCTCATCTTCCGTCATATCTGAGTCATTTCCTGCTTCTCTCCTACTTATGTCTCCCTCGGATTTAGAAGTTATCTCCTCCCCTACCTGAGGCAATATAATGCCTGATAAGGAGTCTCTACTGTTGTGCACAGCATCTTCAAAACTCATATCCCTATTTTTCTTGAGATTAAAACTCAGCCCAGTGCCTCTTTGCATTGTATCGTCATTGTCCTCCTCTGAGAGGGTCCTGAAAAACTTCAGAATGGCTTTTTGCTCCTCCATCGCTCATAAGTTGCTCATAAGAAAGTGGTGACATTATCCAGAGTGGAGGGAGCAGGAGGTTCTTGAAAAGCTTTTCCCACAATGTCAACATTGTGGTACCTATTTAAACTGCTCATATTTGAGACGTGCAACATTGTGCTATCTTACATTCGAAAAATGGTGTTCAGGCATCTGTATGGCATGCACTCATTTGTATAGCTGATTCCAGGATCATGCAACATCCATTTACTATTAAAATATAATGAGAAAGAAAAGTCAATAAAGGTATATCACAACTTGTGAAAATCCGACCTGTTTCCGCTCCAGTTTGATGAAAAGAAATAGATTTATTTTTCCCCGCTACAACAGCTCCTTCATGTCTTACAGCAGAACTAAATTTCCAGACCTAAAACTGGAAGTTAGTCACTTGGAGCCACCAATAGCAGGGGAGAAATCCACACAGTAATGGAAAAGGGAAACTTTCCAAGCCCCAGCTCCATGGCTCTGCCGGTTAGAGTGACTCAACCATAATTAAAAGTCAGATCCAAGTCCTGGCTTCCAAGTTCTGGCTCCTTTTCCCTCTGGATCCTCTATAGCTTCTGTAGTTTACAGAGCAGCATCTTGGACGACACCCTCCAGATTGTCATCCTGTAATTGGAAGCAGATGGTGACTTAAGCCACTGTGTGTGACAACACCCTGACAGATCCGCGAGGCATTGGGCAAAGAAAGCCACCCAGTACAGATGGAGGGGCACCACACCCAGAGCTGAAGGAGGGTAAACAGCACTGCCAGGGATCACTTGCTAAACGTTATGGCCTGTAAATCCACATTCACAGGGAGGTCGCTCAGCTACCCTGCAGGTACTGAGCAGCACTCTGCTAATCAGGGCGTCTTAGCGGGTCTAGCCCCACCAGCACTGTACTGTTAATCAGCTCACATTACATCAAACGTACACTGTGGAGAGACAGAGACACTCTGTCAGATCATTAGTTGTAAAAAAGTACTGTGTTCAGTGACAATGTTATTGGCTTAGCAGTTTAATGTGTGTATTAACTGTTTTTAATGCATTATATTATAAATAAACTTGCCCTGCTTTGCCGTTATTTTTATGCAATAAACAAACGAACCGATAAAAAATTTGTTTTCAAAATAAAGTGACAATTTATTTCAAGTTGGCGACACAGATCAACACAAAGAAGAAGGCCATAAAAAAGTAACAAAAAAGTAAGAAATATCTAAAAAAAATAAACAAACCTTACAGACCATATTTTCTCAAAACAAAGAATTAAAAGTTAAAATCAAAAAATATAAATGAATGCATAAGCAAACAAATAAATTCTCAAACCAAAGATACACATTGTTCCACAGTCAAGCTGGTGATATCGATCAATACTTAAAATGATAAAATAAATTTAAAAAAATAATAATACAAATATATATAAAACATAGAATTAAGCAGTGTAATATAAAAACAAAACAAAATACAATACAATATCTTAAAGGTGTGATTAAAGATGTGAAAAAAGCCATTTAAAACAGAAAAGTAAGAATATTTCATGTGCTTTACATAGATACAGATACTGGCACTTAATGTATGAGAACTCAGGGACACATTTCAAGCTACATGAGGAAGAGTCTTTTCTATTGCTTTTCTGGATTCCTGAGTTAATAAAATCAAAATGAGACTGTAAACTTCCTCCGTCCCTGGTTCGGGTTATTCTTAGTTCTCAGGTTCCACCCTTATTTGCTTTTATGTTACATTATCACAGCCAGAAGCAGGTAAGTCACATGTTTACTGGATGTTACTTCACTGTTTAACTTTCTCTCATGCCATGAAATAGCATTAGAATCAGAGAGCACACGCACAGCTCTCCTGAGCAAACACACTGGACTGAATCCAGCATAAGGCAGCAGAAATACAGTGTGTGCCTTATACAGTAGATCAACATATCACAATATAGTGTAACTGTGGTAAATTGCTCTTTATTATGAATGGTTATAAATGTAAACTTACCAAATCATTTCTGTTGATGTTGTTGAATTGTCTGGTTTTGGATTCTCCATAACTTTAAAGCTTGTTTGAGTTCAGAGTAGCGTCAGACTGGATATGGTGTTTAAAGAATATGTCCATATTATCTCTTATGATCTTTTCAATGAAAACTCTTTCTTAAATTAAGACTTTTTCTTTTTCTTTTTATGTATGTATGTATGTATATGTATATATGTATGTATATATATATATATGTATGTATGTATGTATGTATGTATGTATGTATATATATATATATATATATATAAATATATATGTATATGTATGTATGTATGTATGTATGTATGTATATATATATATATATATGCATTAATTATATGACATGTATTATTATTATTATTATTATTATTATTATTGTCTATGTTCCTCATGCAATGTGTTACCTTAGGGTGAAAAATGTTCACAATGGTCAAATATGAATTTTGTCTCAACTCTCAGCTCCACACACTCATGTGTACAGAGGGAAAGAGGTTAAACTACCATTTCATGCTAATACAGATACCATTGCTTATACAATGCACCTACAGAGTCGCATTAAATCCCTTCTGTTATTTAACAACAAGGAACTCTTTGTCACACACACACACACACACACTGTATGAGGCTTTTCTTTAACCTGAATCCACAGGACTGTGAAGCAAGAGACCGGATTCCACTGTAGTGTGAATATGTAGGTTAATGATGATGGAATATTATATTATATATATTGTGGTCTGGATTACTTTGGCTCACCATCATGAGCCAATCATCTGCAAGTTGTCTTTTCAGCTAATTTAAGTGTCATATGCTCAGATGAAAAAACTGCTGACTTTTAGGTTGTGGTAATACTTTAGACTCCCAGACCAGCCAGCATAACACAGATAAAGTCTTCAAAACAACTCACCCAGAACTCCGGTGGGTGAGGCGTGGATGTCGGTGTATCAATGATGTCATCCTCAGGAGCAGTGATGCGCAGGAAGTCGATGTGTTTCGGTCTGGAGGGATGAGAAAGTGACTTGCAGAAGAAGAGAGACTCCTCCACCTCCTGCAGCCAGATCTTCTCCTGTCTCTGCAGAGCCTCATCTGGGGGGAGAGGAGTCAAATCACCATCAGAGCAGAATCATTATTTTTTCACACTTTAAGTAAAAGTGGCCAAAAAACAGCATCAAAACACTGAATATGATATTTCTTTGAGCTCTGATTTGGGCACCTTTTTACATGTGGTCTTCCATCTGGCACATATCTGATATACAGTCGGAAGTGTCATTAAAAGTCTATAGTATTTCAATATCAAAGTGCAACAGCAGCTGGTGCCTCTGAAAAAAAGAAAAGAGGGAAAATGCTTTCCACACATGAATCTGCGCCCATGGCTAGGACTGTTAATTAACTTGCCTTTAAACCAACCAAACTAAATCAAATGAATGAACACTGAGATCTTTGAGTGATTCCCCAGACCTGCAGTGAATCTTCTTGGGTTATGCTACAGTGTCACCATGAGGATATAAGACAGAACTTCAGCTATAAATGAATAGAAAAAAACTCTTAAATGTTTGCAGCTCAAAAGGAGCAAAAAGCACCACCAGCATGCTGGTTGTCACACTCAGCTTTATTTGACTGTTTTATTAACTTGTTTAACTGTTTGATATGATTCTTTGCTTTCCACTTTTGACTCGTGGCCAATGATTAATCCATCGTCCTCTAGTCAGTGGACACCTGTTGAGATGTGTTTATAATGTGATGCTTGTGGAAATGTTTTAAGCCGGATAAAGAACTATAACTGATCAACTACCAGCAATCTCGGTTATGCCAGTATCATTGCTAAGCATAGTAAAAACACACATTCTAATCTGATAGTAAAGAATAATAAACTAAACAGACACGAAAGCAGAGTCTGAACCCTGAAAGCTGCTCTGAAGATGCACAACTTTAGCTCACCTGTCACAATAAATGCATGCATATGCAACAACATACATGAGAGCAGATTCAGCTATTTATAGTGTTTTATTAAGCATTGACGTCCCTATCAGTTACCTGCTATACTGTATGGATGATGATGTTCCAACTTTATTTGGATATATATTTAAGTATGCAAACTATCAATGTATCTTTTTCTTTTCAACAATCACCTTTCTAAGTTGTAATGTGATGAAAGGCAGCTCGATCTTGTTTTCTTTCACTTCCTGCATCCAGATTTTCTCCATTTATTGCCGAGCTGGTCACACAGTCCTCTCTCTATCGTTTGGGTAAAGAGAGGAAGCTATTCTGTAGTAAATCCATCTGTATCATTTCAGAGTAGAGCGCCAACAGAGATGATAGTTGTGGAACTTTCAGCGGACACATGACGGTCCTCAAAGCCAGATTAAACAGTTTATGGAAACGTGTTATCTGTCCTCCATTTGACCACACTGAAGAGAACACTGGGTTTTGAGAATAAAACCCTCCAAAGGCTCTGCATGTCTTTCTTCCTCTCGCTCTAATCACCACTCTCTAAAGATGTGTTGTATTTCACAAAGTGAACTCAAGCTATCATTTCTATACATTAATTATATACAGCAGCTTCAAGAGTGCTCAATTATTCCACAGCTCTTCATTGAAGCAACCTGATGTTTTATTACAACTCGAAACTCCACCATTTTATCAAATATGAAGAATTGAGATGTCATCATCGTGCATCATTTTGACCAACTTTCCAAAAACGATCTAAAACATCCCACAAATGTATGGGTTCACTTCTAGAAATGAAAATGAGGTTCTGTGGCAGACCCAGAGGAAGGTTGCCATTTTTTGAACTGTAAATTCAATCAGAAAGACGCTCCAACATGCATTCCTCATGAATGATTGTGTCTATGGAGTGTTTAGAGATGGACAAACCAGAGAAACAAAATGTCCTTATCATGTACCATAAGAGGCATAGAGAGGTATGAGAGGTATGTGCAACTACAGTGCAACCTTTTCTTTTCTTGTCATTGATCCAGTGAAGTGTTTAACGTTTGCATTCATCTACAAAGAAACACACACACACACACACACACACACACACACACACACACACACACACACAATTTGTCTTGCTGCTCTTTAAATGGAAACTCTGGTTGTCTCAGGTCAGTGCAAGTGCAGGACTACGAGCTATATCCACATCAGGTGCTCACTGGTACATCATGCCTGAGCTAACACACACACACACACACACACACACACACACACACACACACACACACGTGGTGGTATGTCATATCAGCAAGGGGTCATTATTTACAGACTACCACACATCCTTCCAGTCTGCTTCAGCAGCTGTGGTAAAGAACTGTGCATGTGTGTGTGTGTGTGTGTGCGTGTGTCAGTGGGTGTGTATATGTGGGTGAGAGAGTCAGACTACACTCAGCATGTACCACCTTAAAGACATCTGCTCTTCTTCCTCCTCTGTTCACTTCACTAACAGCCACTAAAAGTCAACGTCATTCTGTTTCTTTCTCTCTAAAGGTATTCTGTCCTCCTTAACCCACCGTACACTGACTCACCATGAAGCACACAATGAAGTTACAAGAACGGCTAAATCCTTTAAAATACTTCATAGAATCCTGCATACTAGTAAACTGAATCTGAAACGAACCAATTGAGTCAACTCTGGAAAAAATATTGTAACATCCTGTCGGGCTCAATGAAATGAGTACGATTTCTCTGTACTCACCTTTCTCTGTACTTTTACTCTATAATACTTCAAGAAAACTTCAATATCTTAATGATATGTTGGTTTTCAACCAGAGGTGAAACCAAGTCATTGTTTTGCACGTCACAAGTCCCAAGAACTAAACTTTGAGTTTGGAGTCCTAAATACGTCTTATATCACTCTCTCCACCAAATGTAATCCCATTTTAACAACAGAGTAATAGTATATTACATTTACATAAATCATGAATGGTTTTTAAATGACTGAACTTAATCATTAAAAAAAGATCTGGGGATTTAAGTGTTGGCTTGCTGGGAATGAATAGTGGTGGTTCAGGAAATGAATTGATTTGCGGGCACACTTTTAATCTCTGGGCTTAGAGGAAGGTATCAGTCAAAAGGCTCAAGTCTAAGTGAAGTCACAAGTCAATGATGTTTAAGTCCAAGTCGAGTTGCAAGTCTTCCGATTATTGAGTCTAAAGTCATCAACTTTTTGACTTGAGTCTGACTCGAGTCCAAATCATGTGACTCCATTCCACACCTCTGCTATCAATCAAAAACAATTTGATCACAAAGCTTCTAACTGATGCCACTATTTGCCTTTTTTATTTTTTTTACTGTATTTCATTTAGACAATGTCCTGCTGATGTAGATCATGTGATGCAATCAAAAGCTCCTAGCAGCTGCTAAATAGACTTTGTGGTGAGACAATAGAGTTAGTAAAACTGTGACATAATGTGACCATATCATCATATTTTGATGCATCTGAACGTTGATAGACAATAATATCGAGTTATTGCCCAGACCTATGTGACTCGTTGTTGTTGTAGCATGATTAACATCATTACCTGAAAAGAGTAGATCATCTTGACTGGTCTCTGTCTCACCAGAGCATCTGCACCTCAGTATCTGGTTCTGTTCCCTCTTCCTGCTATTCTTCTGGTCATTTCCTGTCCCACCACGTTCTGCAGCCCCCTGAGGGAATAAACTGTCTTCAACCGAGCTTCTCCACCTTACGTGACGCTCACAGGTGTCTTGTTCCTGCTGCTCGGTCCGGCTCCGAGGCAGAGAGCACTCGCTGGACAGACTGGACGGGAATAGAGGCGACAGGATGGGAGACATGCTTTCAAAGTTGCTCGATGATCTCGGAGAAAAATCCAGGAGTGCAGACGGAGACGGCGAAGGTGAGAGAGAGGGTGAGGAATTATTTGGCACAGTAGAGGCGAAGTGGTGAGAGTATGACGGTAGGTTTGGGGGCCTTCTCGTTGATCCTTCAAGGTTTGGCTTATAAGACGTTTTCTTGTTCTCTGTGAAGGCTTCACTCTCCGCTTTTGCTGCCTCCATCTTCAGGACCTGACGCAGACTCTGACTCAGAGCTTCGCCCAGAGCTTGAAGCTCCTCAACCAGCAGAGGCTCGTCTTCATTGCACCCCTTGTTCTGGGTCTCACCAAAGCATCCATCTGAGATAAACTGAGCCTCATCCCTCCCGTCGCTGCCTTCTTTGATCCAGTCCGAACTGGTGACACTCACCCGACGTATGATCCCCTCCACCTCCTCAATCTTGCCCATTACACGCTGTGCTGCAGCCTTCTCCTCGTACCACCATTGAGAGGACTTATCCTCTACACCTCCTGCCTTCTTTTCTTCATTTGCATCTCTTACTGCCTTGAAGATCTTGGCTTTTTGAGTATTCCTGGCAGTGCCTTCTGTCTTCATAGTGGGGGGGGTATATGTAGAGGACACATCATTGTCATATTCAGAGAGGTCTGTGTCAGAGTCAGGGAGAGCACATTCTTCCTTCACTGAAAAGCCCTCTCTTTTTTGGTTGAAAGATGCAGACAAGGCATCAGGCAGCTTCACTCTCCACTTTGGCTTTAACTCCTGCTGACTCCGGTTTCTCTCCTCCAACGATGAAACTCTTTCTTTTCCCGTAACTCTTTTTCTCTGAGCGGCAGGAGCGCACATCATCGGCCCCACTTCCTCAAAGTCCCACACCTCAAAAGTAGGAGAGCTCGTCATGGTGACTTTTGTCAGCCTATTCGCCTTGGGAGGCGCCCGTTGAGTCCCAGGTGTCGTCTTGAGGTTGTGCTGAAAGCCGCCGGAGTAAACGAGACCCTCAACTCTCCTCCTTCTTTTCCGAGGAATCTGTAGTCTGGGGGATTTCGGTAAAGCATCCCGACTCTCTGTGTAACCATGAAGGTTCTGTTTATTCTTGGTACTCTGTTGGTTGCCCATGCTCATTGAAGTCTGGCACTCCAAACACAACGGGAACAACTCTGTGGGCCAGAACTCAGAGGAGTCATCCAACACTTTCAGTTTTTCTTTCAAGTCCGAAAGTACAAATTTGTCTGCTTGGCCCTGCTTCGCTGCTCCAGCTGGACCCTCCTCCCTGTAGTTTGAGGTTAGTCCTCCTTGGTGCTTCAGAGGGGCTTTAAAGGGGGGAACTGGGCCACTGCAGTGGGAGAGGGATGGACTCACACAGATCCTCTCGCTGACCGGGACGTAGAGGTTTAAGGTAGCGCGAGTGCCCTCCATGATGTGATTTATTTGATTACCACAGATAAAGCAGGAGACGAGTCCTTTGCAGCAGAAATGGATTCTTTGGAGCGGTTAGACCACTGGACAACAACATGAATCCTAACAAATAAAGATTCAAAGTTCATTTCACTCCTGTTTTAAATGAGTGCATATGCATGAATAAAAAAAAACGAGGCAGCTCTACTGAAGATGAAGTCTCTGCATTTAATAACTAATATCCTTAGATATCACAATTTCCATTCTATATTTATTAATACTTCCACTCTACTACATTTTGGTAGTCAATATTGTACTCTACTGTATATTTTGCAAATTCAAATTATTTAGCATAATATGATCAACTATTACTTAAATGGATTATCATGGATTAAGTTACAGTACAAGGCAGAATATGAAATCATTACAATTGGCCCCACCTTTACCAGCTGCAATATTAGTGATACTCGCATATTCATCCATCACTAATTATGTTGTTAAATGTTTACTTTTGGCACTTTAAATATATTTGGGTTGCTAATACTTGCACTTGAATGCTGGACTTTTACTTGAAACAGATTATTTTGACATTGTAGTATTGCATCTTTTACTTAAATAAAAGTACTTCCACGCTTACATTATCACCGTTTAACTTGACAAAGTTACTAAACAATCTCAGCACATCTAAACACAACTAAAACAAAGTACTAAAACTAGTTTTTTAGAAAACGTCTTATTGACTATGCTTTAAGAAAAAAAAATTTGGCTAATATTCACATTCTTTTGAAACTTTATCATATGAAACTCGTAACTGTCTCATCTCTCCGTGCAGCAGCAGGTTTCTCCTCTGCTGCAGCGACCCTCAGGTGACAGAAGACAGCTCCCTGCACACTGAAGTGACATGAACAGGTTGCATCCAATCAGCGCTGCTCGTATGAATTCTAGAGACTCCTATTGGTTCCTCAGATAAGATTCACTACCCCTAATCCTTTGGCTATTGTCAGGTGCTGTAGCGATCATGTAAACAAACAGACGGGGCTTAGTGAGGATTTCCCCGTAATCATGCAATCCATTTGACTTTAGTTTAGGGTTACTCAAAAAAAAAAGGCTGTAAATGAGCTTAAGGCTAATTGTGCATCCTCTGTTCATATTGTTGTTGTTGTTTTTTTTAAATCAGACATATTTCTATTGCATAATATTTCTTAAATGGTAAAACATGAACATAAAACTCAGATTCTGGTTTGATTTCTGTAGTTTGGCAAGTATACACAGTGAATATGTCCACTAGATGTCAGCGATGTGCTAGCAGGAATCTCGATCTGGAGCTGATTCTTCTTGTGTGTCCCCTGATCATTGAATGAGACCATATGAATTGAACAAATGGACACCTGACAGATGACAATTAGGCTTTGCTCTGTGTAGAAACTGACGTTAAAGGTCGATACAATCAAGCGCGATCATTTGGATGGATGGATGGATTATCTGTTCATAATCTGGACTGCGTATGCATGACCTTTAGTATGAGTGAAATATTTTAGATGGCCTTTACAGTATGAGATTCGAAGTTGAAACTATAACTCTCTTGATAAATCTGCTTTTAATTTATTAAAAAGGAGAAACAATGTGTCTTTACATTGTACAGTCAAGTTAATGGAGTTAGTTTCTGTGCAACTAGAGGCTTTACGGTTAACAATAGACTCAGTGGTAGTTCTTATAGCTAATTTCAAATGACATAACTTCTAGCCGAACTGATTACTTTTATACAGTGCAATAAAAACAGACATTTGGGCCAACTTAACCATACAAATGATCTGTTTATCACTTCACTTTCTCCTAAATGAATAAGCAAAGGAAGCATGTAAAGTAAGTAAATAAGGAAGTGATGATTAAGCACAAATTTAAGTTGGGAAATATGCATTTAAGCAAGCCAGTAAGTAGCCAATGCTTGGTAAGCAACGAACAAGCAAGTTTTGTGAGAGTTGCTTTTCCTCCCAGGATCAAAAACAAACAATGAAAATATATGACCATGAACTAAAATTGCATCGCAAGTGTGTAGTTTTCAGGCGTATGAACGGGTGAGGTGGGTGCAAAACAGAGAGCATTCATAACTTTATATTCGGCCCCACTGCTGCCATTCATCTGACCACCATGCGTCATTGTCAGACCGGCAGCCGTCGAAACTGCTGACTCGATTTTTTTGCAAAGGGGGTTTCACCACAAACCATTTTTAAAAAGTACAGCGGTAATATCTGAGGTCCTAAGCATCATCACCGGTTGAGCAGCATCACCACCACCGGGGGTTCGTTCTCTGATGCCCCGGGTCCGTCCGTCCGCACTGCTGCTGCTGTGCAGCGTCGGGGCGCAGGGAGGAGGAGGAGGGTGGGGAAGAGGAGGAGGAGGAGGAGGAGGGGGGGGCTTGGCCGGGCTGCCCTATATGGCTGTGGATGAGCTGTATGCTAATATCGGCTTGAGAGGCACAGCATCGCGTTTCTGCCGGCAGTCAGTGGTGGCTTCCAGAGTCTGAGCAGGCTCCTTCACAGCCATGGCTGAGGGCGGAGAAGGGGAAGACGAGATCCAGTTCTTGAGAACTGTAAGTAAAGACAGTTTCCACGGTGCGTGCTGCTGAGCCGTTTCATAGCGTGCGCCTTTTCCTTTCGCCAATTAACACCCAGAGGCGGCAGACTGCACGTCAATTAAGTAAAGCCCCGATCCAAGTTGGATTATTGTGGAAGTTTTTGGGAAGAAAATGCATCGTCAGTGGTTAATTTTGAGTTTGCTTATGCATGAATGATGATTTGATGATGGAAGTATCGCCGCAGGTTGCACGCTGCACCTCGCGGCCACCGGGCACACCTGTCGACAGGACTCTTGATGTGGGTGACCTCAATGAGACAACCCGTCTGCTGGTGCAAGGGCTAAAATGACTTCACACTCTCTTGCCATTTCGTAAGACATGCCCCTTCTCGCCCCCCCCATGTCGCGTTGTGATCCGTTTTGTTTTTCTCGGGAACGTCTTGTGCAAAAAAGATATTTTCCTCCTCGGAGAGAAGCGTTTCGATAAGTTGTGCTCACACACCCAAGCCACCCTCTGCTTATTACTATTTTAGTTGTTTTGACGCAGATCGCTTATGTTGCTGCTGCTCTACGTGGATATGCAGAGCAGTTATCCTTGTAAATGATATCACAGCTTGTATGTTGTGGTGGTGGTGACTCGGGTTTTGCATGAAGAGCAATATGATTTATGACACTTGCAACATGCTCAGCAGGGATGTTTACCAAGTTTCATGCACTGCATTTGATTTGAATTTTTAAAGCAACTTTTCCTTTTGTCATAGCTGTTTGTTTTCAAGTTATTCGCTGGTTGAAATCTGTTGTTTTCCGCTATCTAAATAATACATGTATTGAGATTTAGATCTCAGGACTACACCTGCGGTTTTGCACGTTTAAGCCAATTTGCTACAAATCACTCGTACTTTTAAATCGGTAACCATTATACAAACAATGTGGCTGTGATTTGGAAATGTGGATTTGCAGTGTTTTGCTAATGGAATTCATTTTTGTACGATATGAAAAACCTACTGTAGTAGTCCACTCTTGGAACTTGTTTGAGTTGTGTAACCCATCACAGTGTACAGCAAGTTAAATAGTTTCAGTAAGGTCATGCATGTGATGCACAGGTTTTTACAGTGCGCTGACAGATTGCGTACAGACATAAATGGAAGCCAATGGCTGCTTAAAACTGTAGGAGACATATGCAAAACAACAGAGATATTCCAGCAATTTAGCATAATACTTCCATAAAGTTTGGGGGCTTTTGAGCAGTAACGGCAGAGGCCAAGATATCCCGACTTTCAGCACCTAGTGGTTAGTTCCTTGATCCTCATTTCCCATAATGCAACTTGATATCTTCTCTCATTAGACCCTCTTGCCTGGTGAACGTTAACAGAATAAGACTCAAGTTTTAAGTCTGGTTTTACTCGTCGTGAAGTATTACAATCTATATTCATGAAATGTGACTCATAAATGAACTATAGATGCTGGTTTGGTCCTTTTTACAAGTGACGTTCTCCATTGATGTCTATTTGGCTGAACGCCGGACACCAGTGTACTCCTCTCTCAGGGCTTTGAGATGTTGACATACACAGTATTATTAATGTATATACAGTATAATCCCTGTGAAGGCTTGGTTGGTTGTTAGTGGTAGGCGGGACCCTTAACAGCTCCCACTATTTGTGATGCCAGTGATCTGCTGACCCCACGCCTCAGATTCGACTGTCACAATGACATCCTGGTAATTTGATGACAACAGCGGTTTGAGAGGAGCGGGGTTCCCCTGAGCTCCTCAGAACCTTGTTATCAAACCTCAGTGGTGAGAGAAACGTTTCCTCACACAAAGCCCTAAAATGGGAGCGATAATTGAAATGCAATACAATCTGTTGAACATTATGTTATAAGCCTGAGTACAACTGGCAGGTCTTTTTGTTTAATTTTTTGGAAAGAAAACAGTTGCAGGACAAAATGTGGTAGGATTTGTAGCTGTTGTTGGGTTTTCTACTTTTTCCAAGTCAGATGTTTATAAGAAATAAAATGTCAAAGTCTCCTGCTATTGGAGACGGCTGTCAGGTGTTGACAGAAGTCCTGACGTGATTCAATTTCAGCACGGTCACGACCTCACCTTGCTGTTGATGTGTAACGTTGGGGAAAGCTGGCTGCGATAAGTGGAGCACTGTCAAAGGAAACTGAGGAAAATGTTACACCTCTACTGCAAGATGAAGACCGCAGGCCTTGCTGTAACTTTATAGACCGACGCCGACGCTGATAATGGAGATGCAAAGGTTTAAATTAGTGGCAGAACAACTCGCAGCGCATTGGAATTCTTTGCTTTCATATTATTTATGCAGGAATCAGAAAATGTGCAAGTCATTATCTCAGTACGCCAATTGCAGTGTTAGAAGAACACTTAATGTGACTATCAGATGATGATGTGTGTTCAGTGTTCACCTGTGTTATTTGTTGTACTGCTACTTATTGGTTGTGTTGCTGTGTGAAATAATTTATAATAATAATGATTTAATACAAAGAAGAAATATCAACTTGCTTCTTCACTGAAGAACCACCGTGTCATCGTCGGCTGAATACTGTTCAACCCGGTAATTGTCATGCTATATTGGAAATATAAGTATTTCTATGTTTTGGAGCTTAAACTAACCGCTCTCCCACAGATAGTGAATGCCCTATCATAGCTTAGCAACGGCATGCAAAGCTTTGGATTTCTCTACATGCTGAAGAGGTTTGCATGAGGTATCAGTGAGAGCGATATTCAGCGAAGGAGTTAAGACGTTGATTTAAAAATTTAAAACATAACATTTTTCCTGCTGTAATGTGTTTGAATCAGGGAAAGCACCAGGAATCAGTGGTATAGCCATTTAAATCAAAAGTCCTTTGATATAGTTAGACAAACATTCATTTCTTTTTTTTATTTCTCCTGTTGTATAATTGTCTGGTTCCCAGAAACCTATCTCCTCGATACTTAAGCAGGAACCCAGTGGCCAATTTAAGAATCCACTTCAATGTCATGATGCTAAAATACTTGCTAAATGTGTAGCTCATAGACTGAAGAGCGTGCAGGCAGGAATTATCAGGCTCGTCACATCGAAGATAATGTTCGACAGTTGTTGTGAAATTATGAGTTGAATTGGGGGGGGGGGGATAAAAGGGTACATTGTTTTTGCTGATTTGGAGAAAAAGTCCTACGTATAGATTTTATGTTTAATTGGCTAGAAATTAGAAGTCTGCTGTTGTTGACTTCTGTCTGAAATCAAAGACCCATTGTTTATAAAATGACTGGGACTCAACTGTGGTACGTTTCCAGCTGTCATTGCAAACTGCACATCCATGAGAATAGAAAGCTAGTCGGGTGTAGCCACAGTCACTAAGTGGGGTTAAACTAAAGGCCAGGCTTTTTTTTGTTCTGCACTTGTTACAGATATTAGGTTTAATTTAAACTCTGCTGTCACTATTGTACCTTTTTTTTAAAACCAGGTGATTGAGGCCTGCAGTCCGCCAGTAGCTCCTCGGGGCTTATTTGGAGTTTATGTTGTTTTGGAAGCCTTCTGCATACCAAGACGGGGGTTTAAATTTAGCCTGATGATGCTTCTACAGCACATACAGCTCTGCTCCCCTGGCACTAAGCGACACCCAGGGAACAGCTTGAGTTGAGGCAGCACAAGACCAGTGACTCTTTAACACCATGTTTATCGGGATAAAGTAGCATTTAGAAATCAAGTGCTTGAAACCACACAGTACTATACAGCATTTTCTTAAGCTTACTACGTCAAAGTGATAGACAGTGTCTCTGAGAGTTGCACTAAATCTAGTGATAATGTGGTACAACTTGTTAAATTATCATAGATAAATAATCTATTACTTAAGGTTTAACCGATGGCATAGCTGTTGATCACACATAGAGTACGTCCAATAGTTGTGTAATGCACATAGACGGCTAGAGAAGATTGAAGTCACATTTGTTGAACAATGGTAATCTGAATGGTTGAGAATCGTTGTTGAAATAGGTTTTTGATCTTAAATCAAGTGATGAAGAGTATAATCTTATTTTTTTGTTGATTGTTGTGATGATTGGTTGAGCTCCTCTGATGTAAATGGTTGGAAGAGTGGAGTCAAGTGTCGGTGAAAATGAAGAGGAGGAAATACAAACGTTACTGTGCCAGACAACTAACCAAGAAAATAGTACGGCAATATTTATTTAAGTTTTTCTTTCTTTAAAAAAATAAAAAATAAATAACATTTAAGAGTTTAAACTGGTTTACTAGACACATTTAAATAAAGACAAAGAGGCCCAATGGTTTGATATTAATAATTTATCTCCATGGACAATCCTGTTTTCTACTGTTTCCCTTCAAATGTAGGCGATGAGGGAACAATGCGTTTGATTTTGACACCAAAGATAGTGGTTTGTATCCTTTTGTCTTTTAATTTTTTTACGGTAGATTTATCTTCATGCTTTAAGTTATTGATGTTTAGTTTCCACAAGAAACCTTTTGTAAGAGAAACGTTTGACAAAAGTTATTTTTTTTTTTGTCAAGTTCAAAAATTGTCTGACCTTCTAGGACCCGAGAGCCCCCCACGGGGGGCTGTTTTAGAGTGTGCAGCATTCAGCGTGTCGTAGAAAGCATTTTTCATAAAGAAATGTGATTATTGCTCCAGACATATTAAATATCGCATTAACGGGAAAAGTCCGAGCAACATCATCATACCAGCCATTGTAAACACTGCAAACACAATTATACATGAACTAATATCATATCTGGAAGATATCTAGAAGATTTGCCACAATTATGGCCAAAAATCGACGACCTATGCTCACTCTATGGCTCTCTCATCACGGAGCAGGATCGCACATGGCGGATGAACACATGCAGGAGGGGCACAATTCGACCCGGAAATGCACAGCGGCATCCAAATTACTCTCTTTCAAACCGTTCAAAAGTTATGGGTATGCATGCCAACATCAGCAGGTCACGAGGAAAACAAATTGGGTAAAAAAAACAACTTGCGTTTTGGCGATGAAAA